GCTAGAAAGCTGAGGTTTTGAAGCTATGTTCCTCGCCCACATGGAACTCAAAGATTTCAAATTCAGCCCTCCAGGTGTGCGTGGTACCCGCGTATGGTCCAGTGAGGGCTTCTGGCACGAAAATCGCAGACTTGGGAACCAGGAAGGCTGGGAGGCTGAAATTTCCAGGGAATGTTCCCAGCACATATACAACAAAAATTTGTCAGATTTCGCCTCCAGGCATGCATGGTTCTTACGTACGGCCCGTAAAATTTTTTGGCGGAAGAATGGTTAACTTAGGAAATACGAAAGCTGAAGGCTGAAATCTTAAGGAAATGTTCCCAGCCCCCTCCTTCCCTCCCCGCCCCCTCGGAAAAGTTCAGCTCCCAGATACGTATTGTTCTCATGCACAGATCCATGAAATTTTTTGGCTTGCTCAAGATAAAATTGCTAACTCAAGAACCAGAGAAGTCGGGAAGCTGAAAATTTAACGAAATGTTCCCTGTTCAAGTATCGTGTAGGCAATTAAATTCTTGAACTTCGAGGACCAGTATGTCACAAATCCTAGCTACTAGGTTTCCGAGTGATCTCATTACAAGACGAAATATTGCAAAAATGCATGATCGCACGGAACTGCTCGGTGCGCGTCGCCAATAATTTGATTATGATACGCTAAATGCTACCAAATTCAACAAGGTAATGATGAAGTTACTAAAGGAAATATTTACCAGCTAGCCTACCATTTTTACCGATACTAACCTGAGAGAAAAATGATGGGTTCCAAGTGAGAGGAGAAGCCTGTCTTTTTTACATACTGGAAAAGTCATCAGTTGGAAGTTCTCAAATGAAAAATATTATTTTTTCTGTATTATTCAATGGTCATTTCGGCGGTAAGTTTAAGCTGGCCTACGCAGTGGCGACTCAACGTAGCACTTTCTGACAGTCATGGCTTTGGAGTTTCCGCTGCTAAATGCCCTGCGAAAAGTTTTCCTAGAGAAGGGTTGCCTCCCCTACAGAAGGCTTCTCTAAATTTTATGTATTACCTGGAAAGGTTTTTGCCCAGTGTGAATTCGAATATGTC